TGCTGTTGTCTAGTTACATGGCATCTGTGAGTCTTTAGAAAGTGGTGGCTATTCAGAGAGTGTGGGGAGGTTGGCTGAAAAGAAGGAAGGAGCCTCAGGCGTTGGGATAGGGATGCCATTACAGGACAGCTGATGCCCTGGGAGAAGACAGGAGTGGAAGAAGGAGTCCAAGGGAATGGCAAAGTAGAGAGAAAGGGACATAGACTGCAATGGTCATGCTGAAAGGAGAAGTCTCCTTGGCTGAGGAAACAGCTGTGTGAATAACTCCCAGTGACACTGCAAGGCCTGAGATGCCTTAAATTATCAGAGCAGCGAATAGATGTCTGTACTAAACCTCAAGGGATAGTGTAGCCAGAGTCTCCATTGTATAGTTGTCACTAACAACTAAATTGCCTTGCGCCTCTAGAGAGACTAATCCATCAATGTTGGGGTGGATGGTGTTGGTAGGATCTGGCTAGCACTTGCTTTCTTAGGCCTGGCTAGTGTGAATAAAGCTCTTCATTCTCTAGCTAGGCTCTCAAGCCTAATGTAAGCATTTGCAGGCAGTGTCTCTACACGACCTCATACCACCTCTGCTGCCTACAACTCTCCCCATGAAGGGCACAAGTGAAATGAGTTTAGATGGTTTCGTTCTTACTCCACTAAGGACAAAAATACTGTTCTGCAGGGAGCCAAGAGTAGAAGTACAAGTTTTGCAGATTAAGAGTGAGATACGTCGGCAAAGCTGTGTGGGCCTGAAGGCCAAACGAGATGTGGGGGTGGGGAGAGGGCTGTGGGAATGAGGACGTGGGAGTCCTGGGATGAGGCAAGAGGTCAGGACTGAGGGGCATTGGCAAAGAGATGTTGAAGGCACAGGGCTGGACTAGCTGGGGAGAGGGTTGACAGGGGAAACTACCTGGCAGTAAAGGGTTAGCAAGGAGGACTCCTGCTAGCACTGTGCATGGTTCAGACCAGTCCTGTGTCCCTCATTTTATGAACATCACATTCATTCGCTAATAGCTTACAGAAATCCGTCAGAGAAGGTTGCAAGCCATTCTGAGTCTGGGCACACGAGGCTCTGCCCAGCTACTCAGATCTTTTCAGCTGCCATGGAAATGCCTGGCCATGCTCTGCTCTCTCCTGCTGACAACCCCACCAGGCATCATCTTCCCAGCCTGCCTCCAAATTGCCATTCTCCAGCACCTCTCGGTGTCTGGCTGGCATAACGCACAAAAGGCAGACTAGGCAGCTGCAGAGATGCTTCTCCACCCCTGCTTGCCTTGGCAACAAATAGAGGAAGCTCAGTGTGAGCAGGGGGTCTGACTGAAATAAGGAGATCTGTGCCTACTCACCCTTCCCGCATCATCTTCCCAGCCTGCCTCCAAATTGCCATTCTCCAGCACCTCTCGGTGTCTGGCTGGCATAACGCACAAAAGGCAGACTAGGCAGCTGCAGAGATGCTTCTCCACCCCTGCTTGCCTTGGCAACAAATAGAGGAAGCTCAGTGTGAGCAGGGGGTCTGACTGAAATAAGGAGATCTGTGCCTACTCACCCTTCCCCAAAGTAAGTCCATTTCCCAGCTAGGGCTGGTTATTTCATGAGACATTTCTGAAGGTGTCCAGACAGCAATTACCCCACTTGCTTATAGCAGAAGCTGTGTGATTTGGGCAGCCAGCCACAGAGATATGGCCTTTCCATCGTATGCATTCAAATCTGACAAGCAGAAGTCCCGCTTGCCATCTGCTACTTTAAGGAACCAGCTTTCCGCCTGTCCAGCTCAAGTGGAGGCATTTATTTGCACATTTAAAGCAAAAGCTCTAGTGTTGTTTCTAGGAATTCAAAATTTGAGGAGGCACTTTTTAAACACCCCTCCCGCTGCACACAAAGAAATGCTGTCTCATCTGAGTGGCTCTCCCTGCTTTTGGCTCTTTGCGCTGCTGGATAGGGCACAAGCATCATTTGAGGCTCCTCAACATACAGCCAACTGGAGCAGAAATTGCTCTTAGACTTAGGAGCTGAAGATCATTCCTTTGGCTTTGCAATGAGGTCTCAAAATTGACCTACTCCTTCATGTCTCATGGCATTGATGATCTCCCCTAGCACTAGGTGAGCTATTGGCGGTCTATGAATTGGCCCCTATTTGTGTTACTGAATGCCCATGGCCACGCCTGGTGTTTTACTAAATGGTTTGTTTGAAATTGTCCAAAGATGTGTCTACTAATATGTTATTCACTTCCTGAATCCATGTTTGGCAGGCTGTGGTGGGACAGCCAAGTCACATGGTTTTGTGTCTGCTCTCTGGCTGGGCAGCAAACTTTTATATGTCAGAAAAGGGAAGTTAGAGAGATTTCAGTCTGAATGGATATTCCCCATGAGTTTCCACACTGACATGCATTTGTAAGATACATACACTACTTCAGCTGCTTGCACAATTTCCTCTGATTGTTTATAGGAATAAGGTTATGAATGCCTGGAAGGCTATTTAATACAATGTTTATTATAATATTCACAACCCCTTTTTTGCCGTGTTTGCCTACTTCTAACCACTTCTCAGGGCAGATGCTGCTGAATAAAGTATGTGTGCATTTGCTGCAAGGTGGTTTAGGATATATTTTGGGAACACAGCTACAGCCCACGTTGAACTTTTATTTTCACTGCATCACTCTGCTCTCTGGGAAGTGAGCTGCACTAGTAATTTACGGAGTTGTTCTTGGATCGTATCTATCCCTGTTGTAACTGGTCCAACAACATTGTTGGGAACAGAGCCTGCCCTGCATGGCTGAATCTGGTCCTTGGGCTTTTCCAAGGTTACTAAACAAAATCTTGTCTACTTCAGCTGTGTCACTTCTTTAAGAAAATGTTTTGTAAACTTAAAAAACCCCTCTCCCACCTTAACATGAAGTGCTAAGCAGTGGGTAATGAGTAGCTGATGTTCTGGAGATGTCTTGAAAGATTTTTTTATAGCTGCCGTGGTTAACTTCTCTTATGTTGGTGATAGCTCCTGCCAGTGCAAGTTCCCAGAGTGTTCATGTGTGGCTTGGAAGGGAGCAAATATGTTGATTTGCAATGGTTTTAGGGCAGTGCTACTGACACACCTTGAAGGCGGCCTTTGCTGCCAGTGATGACCTCACACCATATCCTGTCTGATCTATAAATCCATTGCATCCAGTAGCTAAAGGCCCCATTGACCTGGGGTGTGCAGGCAGCAGAGCCACGCGGGTTTGTAGCCGTTGTGTGGAGTGAGGCACTGGCGGGGATCTAACAAACTCTTTAGCGAGCATTGGGAACAGTTTTTACTTTTAAATATGTCAATATGATCTAGCTCTGTCTGTATTTATGTACAAACAGTATATCACAATGTTGCCTTTTTGTTGGAAATATCAAAAGTACAAAGATTGTAAACCAAATCGGTGTAATAAAAGTTCCAGATGATTCACTGACTCTGGGCTCAGCTTTGGGTTTGTGTGTGTCAGAGGCTAGGGCACTTGCAGATTACTCTATAATGTTATTCATAGGTCGTGAACATCGGACTAGCTGAGTAAGGCCAGACCGCCCCAAATACACAGAGGCAAAAGGACATTATCTTGTGAGGCCTCTCATGGGCCAGCCCTCATGCAGGAGGGATCTAAAGACCTGGGGAGTCAATCTAGTGGCCCTTTTCCCATCTCATCACCTTCTTCAGGTAGCCAGTAGACTGGACTCAACAAGTATTTTCCCTTCCAGGGAAAGGGAGTGTAAATGAGGAGACAAAGCCTAGCCCACTTCTTATTTTTATGCCTCAACTCCTTTGTTTCCCTTCCTCTGAATGCAGGGGAATTAACTCTGTTTTCAAGAAGACAGCCTGGCTTTTCTGCTGAACAGCATCTACAGGGCAAACAAAGCTGCATGGGATGTCACAGCTCCTCCCAACTCCAAGGCTAAAGAAAGGTTTGTACCCTCCCTAGAGGAGTGTCCTATTCAAAATGAACCTCCCATGCTCCCAAAGCAGTGCAGTGAGGACCAAAGGCAGGAGATCTATTATTAATGGAACATAGCTCTTTAGCTTCATCACACAGCTGTCTAGAATGCTAGGCAGTGTGTAAAAATATATTCAAAGCCTCAGCTGGGTCAACAATCAGAGAAAAGCTTCTGACCCACAAACAAGCAACATTCACCCCCTACCAGCTTCTCTGCACCGTGTTTAATCCACCATCCAGGGAAAGCCTGAAATAGCAGCACCACCTGAAGGTCAGCTCTAGATCAGACCACTTAGTGCAGGAGCTTCCACACGGGGGACAAAAGGCTGTTGCTTGGTCTCACTCTCTTCAACAGTCTTGGCTTGAGCTTGTTACTGGAATGCGTCCCAAAACCTGAATAGCACCACAGGAATCATAATGGGGCCTCAAGCACTGTGGGGATTTGAATTCAGAGGCAAGTTGCCTCCATAAAGCCACAGAAGTCACATCAAACCCAATTACTGCCACACATTAACACACATCCCAGGATGATGTCATAATGCAGTGTGTTTTGTAGTTACACATGAGAGAAGTTACCAATCTGCCACAAATTAGTTCTAGAACGGTAAAGTTTACACAATCTTCTGCAAAACTATGACTGAAAATAAAGACAAGATACAGAAATATGGGCATCTGGGTGGACTAGAATTCTCTCTACCACTCACAAATACTCCATATGCAAGCCATTCATGTTACCTAAAGATCTGACATTCCTCTGCAGCTGGAAATAAAGTGTTGCCAGAGCTGTTATCTAACTGTCCAAAACAATACTCACCTAGTTACATGGTTTGTAGAAAGCCCCATTATATACAATCGTTGTGTTCCAGGTCAAAGCTGATTTCTGGCAATGGCACGTACCTCAAACTCTCTCCAGTTCCATTTTCACTGGGGCTCTGCAAAGTTAACAGCCTCACTGAGTGCTAAATTGATGCAATCAAAATGCTTGGCCTTAGAGAAGAAAAAGCTTCCTAAATTTATGACTAGATAATGCAAAACTCATGTTTGACACCTGAACTGGATATTTTGTAAAGCTCATTTACTATTTATAAGGACACCAGACCAAGTTATAAGCAGCAGGATTCACTTGCTCATAACTTTGAGGGTTAATACTTGTTGCACAGAACCAGGACTATCCAAATGTAACTATAAGTGTAGGCTCATAAAGGAGTAACCAACCGGGATGAGTTCATCCCACTTGAAAATGCTTTCAAGTTAGTGCAGGTACACCAGGGATGAATTTAGCACAAGAATAATCTTCTTCTATATAATAGTGGTATCAGGTATGTAATGCATGAACTATTCCATGACTATGAACTCTTCCCTCCTACTTCTGAACTATCCGGTCTACATGGGATTCTCAACTCTGTTCATAGCACAACCCGCATTTTTAATACAGAGACTGTGTGGGTTTCTCCTTTCCTATTCACAGTCACATAACATCCAAACAGCAATTGTCATTGCTCATCTGGAGAGGAAATATTTAGGTCAGTACTGAATGTGGTTTGAGTTTCTTTTAATGCCATTTAGCAGCTGGAAACAAAGAAGGCTCCAGTACTATGTGACGACAGCTGGAAACAAAGGGAGACCCAGTATCAGGTGACAGCTCTCCAGGGACCACCGACAAGCATTCTGAAGACCACTTGTGGTTCACAAGCCACAGTAATGTGCCTTTCATTGATTGCCAATTGATTTCATTGGTAAGAAGCAATAGCAAAGACGGTGCAATACATACAATTCCCTGTTTTAGTTTTTTCCTCTTCCCAGCTGCATGTTGGGTATTTTATGTATGAAAAATAACTGAAAAGGTTACAAACCATACTGTGAAACCAACTCCAGGAGATGAATTTTCAGGCCAGCCTGTGAGAGGTAGGTACTAGGTTGAAATCACATCTGAGAGTAATAAGCCCCCTCAGTCATACCTGGGGGTAATCAGCCTCTCAAGACACGCATTGGGAGTCTCAGTGCAGTTCCCCATGGACAGATGTCAGCAGCACACAATCTAGCAGCACTGCTGGGGTGAAAGAGCAAACTGGCATGGGAACTGAACTCCTCCCTTTACCTCCGAGGTGGCTTTCCAAGCTGTCTTGGATGGGGAAGCCTGTGCTGTGCCTACTCTATGACTAAACAGATGTTAACGTCTCACACTGTCAGCTTGGCACTTATAAAACCCTCTCACATGTGCCCTGCTGTGGATGGGGAATCTAAATCTTCAGCTTCATTTTAGAAGGAAGTGGGCTTCATTAACACAGATTCCATCCATGACACACAGCCTCTATCCCCTGGGGAGAATGACAAAGGGCTGTTTCCCTCCCTTGTTTAAATGAACCTGCTTGGGGCTGCTTTGTAGGACAGGCTGTTTTGTGTGGGAAAGAAAGCCAAAACAGGGCAGTCTGGACACCAGAGAAACCCCTCCTAAAGGAAGAACTTTGATAATTAGGTATCAAGGTTAGTGGCCCCATATCTTCCACTCTAGACCTTATGGCAGGCCCTGTGGGTGAGCTCCGGCAAGAGTTCAGCTGGTCAAAGCTTTTGCAGAGCAAGCTTATGTCCCATAGATACGGTTTCCCATGTTGTTATTGGCTCTTCCATGACAACTTTGCCCCCCACTTTGTGATGGCAATCTCACAAGCTCTGTGTGCTGGTTCCAAAGGCTGAGTGCCAGGTTTTTATTTACCCTCCTTTGCTCCCAAAGCCCATGAGAGCATGAAACCATCTTGCATCAGAACCACATGAGACCCCCAACTTTGGGAATAGCTTTAATGAGTCTGCATTCAGGGCATTCAGTCGCATAGCAGCAACGAGATGGGCAAAGGCTATTCCAAGAGCTGGCTATCAGAGGCATGCATGCTTCCAATCCCAGTAGGTGACTTAGACAATGAATAGAGCACATGAGGTGAGAAAAATCTATTGAACAAAGGAAGCATGTGTAATTTCTAGAATGATATGGTGGATAGGGTTACCATATTTGAACTTTCAAAAAAAAGAGGATACCCCTGCGAGGGAATGTATCTCTATCTACCAACTCACGTGGTATTAATTATACAATTTATACTCATGTTGTATATATTATGTAACACATTAATACCACGTGAGTTGGTAGATACTGATACAGATATATTCCTTCTCAGGGGTGTCCTCTTTTTTGAAAGTTCAAATATGGTAACCCTAATGGTGGACTTTGGCCAGTATGAAGCCGATGGGAACCTAGCTCAGGCTGGGAAGTTAGCAAAATGGTAAAACTTTGATCACACTGTATGAAGGAGCCAGTGAGAAATCTCCTTTGGGGTCCAACTGCCAGGTAGGGCTTACTCACTGATGCCAGATTGCCTGTTATGATTTCTTATGGCTCCCCCAATCAGGAATTCATGTCCTTTGCCACAGCTGCTCAATGAGAAGAGAGTTTTCATTCCAAAGACTATAGAGGGAAATAAGGGCATGGAATAGGCTAGTCCAGGTCTGTGTATTTCTCTTCCAGGGAATTTGGCTGGTGCATGGTTTTCAGACGGGCAATTTCCTGGTTAGCCTTCAGGGCTTGTTTAATGAGATACTCGCTCTCCTGCCCCACCTCTGCCAGCCGCAGGTCAAATTCAGTCAGGGTCTTGTTATCTGACATTCCTTCCAGCAGCTGCTTCCCACCATCCTAGAATCAGAAAATAAATGGGTGTGAAGTGCAGACCAGAGCAGGATTGGAGGCAAGGTGGCTGCTCCATGTCCCCATCTCCAGAGCACCTTTCACTGGCATTCACCTACTGCCTACAAGCAGAACAGAGGAGAAGGAAGCATGTCCTGAGTCGGAGTATGTGATAAGTAAACCTAGGGTATCTTATTCCTCAGCAAGGGTCATCCAAGACTGAAAAGAAGAGTAACCTTATGCAGTGTGCAAAATGACTCCCTCTGGGTATCACATCAGCAATTCTCAGGCTCGGAGCTGGTTAAGACTGAGACAAGTTGATAGGGACATGCCAGTGTATCTGGTCACCCTTTCATCAGCTCAGTGCTAGATAATCTCAACATTAGCACAACTAGTGTATTGTTCCTGCTCTGGCAAATGTGAAGAGAAGTCCATTCTGATGGTTTCTAAGAAGGAGACTAGCTCCTGGGAACGTCTGTGGTGAGGCAGAGCCTCCCACACAACAAAAGTTCAATCCACTGAGGGCATTAAGCTGTGATGGAAAATCTGGCAGAGATGTCAGGAGTTCTGGGGCTTTGGGAGCAGCTCACCTTGGTACTGTTACCTTCCTCACCTGTCAACACCAACCCGAGGGACTGGCCCAGCAGATGCTTTCTGGAGGTGTTGAACCCCAGGTATTGTCAATTAATATCTAAAAGATACCAAATAAATATTCTGCTCCCATCCTGTGTGACCACTCCTCTCACCCCTGGCCTCCCACAGACTTTGACCTCCTTGAGAGAGGGCAGGCCATGGGAAAGGAAGGGAAGGAGTCTACCTCTGAAATCAATAGGAATGAAGGCAAGCACAAGGGCTGAGTGTGGTGTGTCTCTCATAGTCCAGCTGGGGGCCTGGAAGTCACATCTCCTGGTCTGGACTCCCATGCTGGGTGGCAGGTGTCATCTAATGGTTACAGCAGGGACTGGGACATAGGACTTCTAGGTTCTATTTCCAGTTCTACCACTGAACATGGGGGCACCTCAGGCAAGTCACTTTAGTTATGTCTAGATTGCAGAGGTTTTTTTTGAAAAGCAGACGTGTTCCTTGGACACGGCAGAGCTTTTCCGGGATACCAGAGGTATCCCAGAAAAGCTCTGCCGCGTCCAAGGAACATGCCTGCTTTTCCAAAAAAAAATTGGAAAAGCAGATGTGTTTTTCAGCATCTCTGTAAACCTCGTTCTACAAGGAAGAAGGGATGTTTCGAAAGAGGCTTTCCCCCCAACATTTGGCTCAGTGTAGGCAGGCCAAATGTTGGAAAAGCCTCTTTCAGTAGAAAAGTGGAAAAGGATACGCAAATTGCAGTTCGCACCTTGCGTATCTTTTTTCCGACTTTTCTTTGTAGTCTAGACACAGCCTTTCTTT